GAGAAGAAGCAGAAGAAGAATGGAAGAGACGGAGTGGAAGAAATAAAAGAAGAAAGTACAGGAAGAGGAATAAGATCAAAGAAAAAGATGCATAGAGAGAGAGCAAAAGAAGGAGAGAAGTAAAAGAAAATGCAGGAAGAAGAAGTGTAAGAAGAAGGAGAATAGATAGAAGGGACGGAGAAGTAAAAATGCTTGCAGTAAAGTTAAGAGGCTGAAGAACACAACCAAAGAGGAAGCAGAATGATTTAGACACTAAAGTGAAAGAGTAAGCCAAGGAGAAGAAAAGAGTGGCAGATCCTTCTGTATGGATGTGAGAGAGGGTTAAAATAGTAAGTAGAGGTGGTTTTTGGCCGAAGGCAGGGATGGTTGACTCTCCAAAATCGAGCTGGAGGGTTGGAATGGCAGCAACGTGCCCACACCGCCTGGTGAAATAGCTACATTTCCTTCTATATTGGGTGGTGTGTATTGCCCACTTCATGGTGTATGTGTGTCTAAGGGGCATCTAGGTGCTGCCTTGTACTGCGCCAGGATGATGGGTTGGTGTGAGTGCGCCACCCCGAGGAGCAGGCACTCACAATGTGTTAGGATGATTATGGAAAAAATGACAACCCTAGCTCCTCTTGAAAAGAAAACATCAAGGAATCCAATGATGTAATTATTTTTTGTTAAAGTGGTCCCCCATGTTATGAAAATTTAGGTCAAAGTAATAGCCCCATCCTAAAAGAGAGAAAATTTGGTGGATTTTGGGTGAAAGATTTAATGGGTTTTGATTGATTAAATTAATTAGTTTTTAGCTCTCATTTACTTTGGTTAAAGTTTGGTTATATTTGGCTCTATTTTGGCTTAGTTAATTTTTATTTTGCTTAGGTGAATTTTAATCTTTAGGTTACAATAGGTTTAACAAAAGTTTTAGCTCAAGTAAGGATCAAGTCATATATTATCTGAGCTCAAGTCAGTCATATTGTGACACTAGGAGGGATATCTTATGTCATGATGAGATTTGATACAAGTAAGGGAAAATGCCGACATAAAAAGGAGGTCAACAATCTGCCACTACTGCATGTGTTCTACCTCCACGCTTGGGGTCCCTTTTACCGCCTGCTGCCTCACATGTTAAAAGTTTGTTCCATTGAAGAAGACCAGATGATAATAAGTTGTGAGGAAGGCATAGTAAATACAACGGCTAAAATTTTTTTCTTTTAAGAAGTACAAGAAGGCTGGAGCATGTTATATAAGTTTAATATGTAATGTCTTCTTTTCTTATAGAGATAATCTAAAATTTCAATCCCTATGACTGAAATGTTTGTTAAATAGAGTAGAAAATTAATCACTAATTTCTTCTTAATTTCCTTTAAAGGTAACAAATGTCATTCAATTTGAAATAAAATTTCTTTTATTTGGCATTGCCTTTATATTAATAATGGCTTTTTGGAAGTTTGCGTTAAACTTGATCTTTCATTTTATTTCATATTATTTCATTGAATGAGTATGTTTCTTAATTATGAGTTTTTTTCATGAGTTAAGAAAAATCAAGGCCTTCAATTCAAATTAATTTTGGGATTTCACTCATTATAAAATAGACTGATTTTTATTTACATGGGCCTGTTAGATATGATTTTTTTATATGGACTAAAATTATTTCATTCTTAGAATTATGTCTTTTGAGTTTTTTAATTTCATTAAGAACTTTTGGAAATTTCTTAACTTCCATTTTTGTTAATTTTTTCACTATTATTAAGTATTTAACATTTAATCTTTAACTATAATTTTATTAGATATTGCAAATGATTACTAGTGTACTTTTGTAAGTGGGTTAATAATATTTGTTCATATAATTAATTTTAGCATTTTGGTTTGTTACTTTGGTCTTGGGAAATCTTTTTCTTTAGTTAAGTCATTTTAACATATATTTGATCTATATTTTACTTATTTTATTATGAGCTAATTTTCTTTATTCATTCTTTAGGCTTCTTATCAACTAAGGGGATCAAGAGATTCAGTTACAATTTACTTTGGAGTGTATTGCATTTAGTTATAATTTCTTTCTTCTTTGATGGGTGATGAGTGGATTTATTTTTTGTTGCTTATGCAATTTCTTCTAGTATTTCTTGTTGTGGAATATTTCTTTGGCAGTGAGGATTCTCCTTGAAAATTTATTTTGTTTCGGTGTATTCCATTCATTTTATCATTTCTGGTATTTTGTATATTGTTGAGTATTTATTTTATGAGGGTTTTCACCATTATCTAATTTATTTAATTGGCTAGATTTTAACTTTTAATATAAACTATTGAATTAAGTTCAAATATTTTAATTTTTATTTACAAAACAATGAAATTAATGTCTCTTTGTACTCTGCATTAAATAATTTTATCGAATGTAATTTATAATATTTCATTGATCATATGTTTAATTATTACAAAAGCTAATAGAAGTGATTCTTCATCATAAAAACACTCCCTTTAATTTAATATACCCTCTAAAGAATTGATTAACTTCTTGATGATCACATTGATGTTAAATCTCAAATAGATATATTTCTATTAGCCAAATTTGTCTGTTAGTTTTCTAACCTAGGGTCTAACCCTAAATATCTATAAATTAAGGTCAGTTATTATTAACATCCAACAATTAATTAAAGTCAACTTATTCAACGTTCAACCCAAAAAATATATAAATGTTTTAAAAAATATAAAAACTAAAAAAAAACCTTTAAGAAAACTTAAAAAAAGCTAAAATTTACTTAAGGTGAGTCAAATAATAACCCAAACTATTATATGCCCAGTGCAAACTTCACATTCTATTGTAACCTTGCTAAGAGTACCAAATTCAAACTAAGAATGAATCAATGTATGCTAATATTATCAGATAATAATTGCTTTGCGATATGCGACTTGCTCTCTAATTAGGTGTGTAGCTTGATTATGATGATGCTACTATATTAATGCCATTATTATTAGCAAATCTATTCTCTATTGACATGCATTTAAGCTTTTAACTTTGTTTCTTGCATCTAATATGACACTGAGCCCTTTATAAGCTTAACCAATCACATAATTGGTCACAATTATCTGTCATCCTTGATATATGTACTCTAAGATAAAGCATTCTAAAGTTATCAATAAGGATTATTCAACCAAGTTAATTCTACCTGTCTACTAGTTAAAGAGTGTAGGCTCATAACTTCTATAAATGATGGAAAAATATGATTGTGAATGTACATATCATTATCTTCCCAAAATAAACTACTCATTTAACATTTAACAAAAAAAAAAAAATACAAATTATCTCTTCTTTGATCTTAAGAGAGTATTCACAACATAAACCTACTAATAAGTTTGCATTATTATCCTTAATCAGGAGATCATTCCTATCAGAGATACAAGTAACTGTAAGAGAGCCCATGGCAAAATCCTTGAGTATTGAATCCATTTAAAGTTGCAAAATCTTATATTAATGAGGGAATGGATCAACATGGGGGAAAAGATGCTAGAGGCTGGACATGAATATATGTTATGGGGGCAATCAAACTCTTACATTTAAATTACTCATTCATACATGCAGACTGGCTAGCTTGGAAGATGGTAGTGTGGTCACCCACCCTTAGGTCTTCATGCATAAAACCCATCCAAGCAAGAAGGAAAAGCATAGCTACCAATAATGTTCATCTCATTAGTTAGGCAGGTTTGATCTCTTGTAGTGCACAAATTTGAATTGTTTAGTGTCATTAGAATTGTTGCAATGAAATTCTTATTTTTAAATATAATCTTGTATTTTCTAAAACTCCTTCAAATTTCGAATAATTTTTGTAGCTAAAATTTGCATTTAATTTAGATATTTAAATATTAATAAAATGTACTTCATCAAATCAATATTTTATGAATCTAATAAAAAAAGGAGCATTTAAATACATAAAAGCTAATGCTTATATATTTATATATCTAACATTTAAACATTTATATTTATACGCATGCCACTCAATTTTTAACATCACATAAAAATTATCACTATTATTATTTTCTTAAAAGTGAAATACTCATTTTCATGCATATGTTTATGAAACTAAAGCGTTATAAGCATAAATATAAAACTATTGGTGTTAGAAATATAAATACATAAGACTTGTACATTAAGTATGTAAAATTTTCTCAAAAAATGTGCACTTATCGATGATTAATAGTTGAGCCTTTAACTTTTCAGTACGAGTATATGGATTCAAATTGCGGTGCATATTACTGTTTGGGCTCATCTTTTTTGAAAAAAAAAAATTTAAAAATATCAAATAGTAGTCATAGCAGGTCAATGGCAGTTAAAATATTATTATTCATATAAACATAACATTTGGCGCCATTTTTTCCTTAGAATACTGAACAAAAAATAACACTCCATGTAGTTTGGTCTCTCTTCACATATTTTAATGCAAAGGGCATCACAAAATTAACAAGCATAAGACAGGATTATCTCTAATTTCTTTTTAAAATCGTATGAAATTATAAAAATAATTTTCATAATCATAAATTATTATTATTTTTTATAAATAGAAAAGAAACGGTGTCATTGTTTTAATTGAATATCTCAAATAGTTCGAAAAGGCCCTGAATGAAGTACATGATGTCCTAATTTAGGGTCCGTTTGGGGCAGATTATTTGGTGCAGTGACGTTTTGAAAACGCACCTGACTTGCTTGGGTAAACTATGTTTTGACAGTTTATGCGTTTTCAAAACGCTGAAAACAGCGTTTTCAACATCATACCTGTCTAAATGTGATTGCAATTTTCTAGCTGCGGTGTGAGATTTAGTTACTCAATTTCAGCTAATTTTGGATGTAGTATTTTTTTTTTCAATTGAAAATTAAAGAAGAAATTTTCATTAAAGTCCATATATTTTTAGGTGAACGTTGTAAAAATAAATTTTTTTTTTATTTGCAATTAAAGTTTTCTTTTTTCTAATGAACTAAAAAGAAACAAATCGTCCCCTCTGTATATTAATGCTATCTCGCACAGAATTGTAAAAATTTTCCGTTTGGTTTTCTACCTGCGTCCGTACCCTGGCTTCTCTCGCGGAGCGCCGTCTCCCTGCGGCAATGGCGGCCGACGATGAATCGCCTAGGACGAGGAAGATGACGGATCGCGGCGTTAAGAAGCTTCTCCTTGGCGAGGAAGTAGAGGTTTGAAATTCCCTAATCTCATTGTAATTACGAGGCAATGTTTGTTTCCATTAGAAAGATTTCTCTCTTTTTCGATTCTCTTGAAACCCGATGGATTCGGAAGCGGCGTCCGGGCTTCTTTCTCTTGTGAAATAATACATTCAGCAATTTTTTCCTTTTGGGGTTAGGTTTAACTTCCTCGCTGGTACTATTTGCGCGATTCCTCTTTTATTTTTTTGCTTTGCAAGATTTTTGCCCTTTTTGTTCGATTGTTTTTAGTTTTTGCCTTTTTTTGGTCGAAGGATTTGGTTCTTAGGATTTATGATAATTTCCTTTTTCGGGGATTTCTCACCGTCTGAAGCGTTCATGTAGCATTTTGCTTTGCAGTCTATCACTCTTTGTTCTTTGGATTATTCGAGTCTTGTTAGCCAGTAAGAGCAAGTCTATTATGGAGAGATATCATCAGTCTCAAACATGTTTTTATTTTTATTTTTTAATTATTTGCCATGTTGTAGTTTACATTGTTTTTTTAGTTCTTTAAAATTTTGATTTAATTTCACTGTGTAAGCTTTAATATATGCATAACTTGATCAATGTGACCTGGAAGGCCTTTGGAATTTTGAAGCAGCCTCTCTCCGTGCAGTTTGTAAATTTGCTGTGTTCTACACTACCTCTTACTAACTCGGGAGTATTGCATATTTCTACTGCTTCCTTTGTCCTTAAAGCTTTATGCTTTCTTCTGGGATCTTATGTCAATTCTTGTTGTGTTTATTTGTTATTTTTTCCTGGGAATTTCTCTCTCTCATGTGGGTGCTCATTTCTTTTTGCAACGTTCTTTACTTGTATCTTTTGGTTTTGCCATCTGATTAATTCAACTCTCCTTTACTATCATGCTTATTTCTTGATTGTAGAGTTTATTGTGGTATGGAAGATGTTAAGATATTATTTTCATTTATGGACCATTGGCTTGATTTGTTGAAACTTATACTAATTCTTAACCATATCCAATGCACATGCACCCATTTGCCCATCCTATTTGAATGTATGAAGATTATGTATGTGTAAGGCATGAATATTTACTCTTTTCTATGGAAAAAAATGGTTGATGTTGAGGAGTAAGCATGTTTTTGAGTTTATTCTATTGATATTGTTAGAATAATAAGAGGTTATGAAATTCTATATGGCTTTAGTTCTTGTAGTGGTGTTGGCGGGAGAAGTTAGTGTAACATACCCTTACAAAACCCATGTGATTTTTTTTTGCTTCATTTGTTATTATGTTATTTTTTTCCCTGACCGGCATTCTTTGTAGCTGGAATATACAATGTTTTTGTGCTGTCTATGGAAACATTTAATTTAGATGCCTTAACTCTATATTTAGCTGCTAGGTTTTGGGATAAGAGTATTAGAAGTCCTCTTCCATTTTATTGACATAATATATATTAAGATATTGGTATCAATCAAAATATACATACTTGCTTAATAGCTGGAACAAGTGGAATTTACTTTTACTAAGGTCTATATCCCTCGAAAAGTTCATCATCCTGCAATTTTGGAATCAATGAATTTCAAAAATGATGAAACCATGAATTATATCACATGTTTTGAGGGGCAATGGTAGAAAGATACTTTAATTGGTGGCCCAAATGCTTTTTATTAGCATACAAATAATTTAAGAATCATAGTTTTATTATTATTCTCATCACTTTATTTCTTAAATATAACCATTCACTCGAGAATGATGAATTCAAAGTAATAATGCAATTTTGACTTATAAATAATTTATCTATTGAAAACCAACTGTTTTTATTCAGTTCAACGAAGAAATCATCCACCGGACATTTCCATTATTTCTCACTAACTCTTGATAAGTTATTTTGTAACTTTAGGCACGAATAGAAAATTTTCAAGCTGAAGATGAATGCTCGGTATTTAATCTTTTATTTTACAATTTGTTTGTGTGGTTGATGCTTTCCATCGTCTTTGTGTAGCATGTGATTTTAGGAGCGCCATTGATTTTCGAGGGACCCGCCATAAGGACTACCTTATGGTGCACATGGAGTTGCCTTGGGTAGGAACTGTTGTATAGCTAAGAAGAAGTTGAAGAACTAATTTTTTCTTGTAAATCAAAGAGCTAAATTATATAATTTCCTGAAGAAGGCTCGAAACACTAATACACAAGATGAAATTTTTTTCAGACATAAGATTGGATGAGATGCTAACCTTCGTATGGAAGATTTCATTGCAACTTTCATCCTTTTGTATTTATTAGCCTTAACAGCACACCTTTCAAAATTAGCTATCACTTGCAACTCCTTTTCATTATAAGGTATGGCATCTTCATGCCCTTGCTCTGATGAGTAGGTTGAATACTTAAAGGAGGAGGTGTGAGGATCACATTTCTGTAATTAGTCATTCTCCCCTACTCTGATAATGCGCTCCACTTCTTTGTCTAATTACTTTTATAAAATATTGTTGCCAAATCATATGGAAAAATTGACCACTTGTAGATAATCATTGATTGATCCTGAAACATCAGCTACAAGGAATCCATTTAAATGTTATTTTTTATCCTTGTCCATTTGAATTATTTATTTTTTTTTTTGCATTGTTTGAAAACATATGCTCCTTCCATGTCAAGATGCTGACAAATTCAAAATTTTTTAATTGAATAAAGTATCCCTTGTTTGGTATTTTCATAAGCACAGTTGATGTGGAAGCCACAATCTGCTCCTACTATAACTTCATTGCTTCTGTTGCCTTAATCAAGTGTTGCATTGTATTTCTGACCGAACTACTGTGTTGCTGATGAATTTCCACTACTTACACGCCATTGCTCCTGCAGTCTTGCCTTATACCTTCAATTAATTTATTGTTCTATTTGTATCTCTGGTTATTCTAGTTATAGTTCTACGCCGCCTTTGTACATGACTTTCATTTGTTCTTTGTGCTTATGATTATGCCATCATGCTGATTAAGATAGGACTTAATAATAGGTTCAATCATACAAATTAATAAGATATGTAATTACTAAATGAATCTACATAAACATATAAAAATTTAAATTACATTCCTATGTTTGATAGGAGGTATGGTCTTGAAAATTTTATCAGATTGGATCAATAATTTTTTTTTTATTTTTACCATTTTTCTAATTTTGGAAAACTTGATCGTCATAAATACAAGTCATGTTCAATCATATTGACAACATGTTGTAAGTAAAACTAAATTTGTATGAGCTAACTTAAAGGATAAAGAGTAGTATCTGTCATTTGATGAGTATAGATATCAACTATATGGACAATATAAGCTTTCAAACCACAGCGAATGTGATTTATATGAATAGTTGGATAGGTATATGAACATATGAATAGTTGGATAGGTATATGCACAAAAAAAAGCTGACCGACAACATATTGATTATAGTGTGAGTGCTTAATGTTCAAATTAAGTGAAACGGATCTGGGGACATTAACACATTGATTTTGTGGTGATTTTATTTCACTACGTGCTACATCCAAGCTTATTGGATGGCTAAATGAGATAAATTCTAAGTTCTCTTAATAAAAGGAGGATATTTTAATCAAGAAAGTTTACTATCAATGTAATCTGAATTGTGTATGTTATGCATATATCATATAGCTTCTTAGAACTTTTCTATTGTGTATTATTAGCTTCAATTAATGTTGACAAGAAACATGGTAATCTCAAGCAGGTTCATTCACCCCAATGCTAACTTTGAGGTATGGCATGAGCTTCTCTACATTGACTCTAAACAATTTTGAATGGAGAATCCTTGTTTGACCTCTGAAAAGATTTGTGTTTGATAAATATCCCACCTCAAACAGTTGGGCAAGGTGATGAATTGACTTAGGTGTAATAGCCTTCTTGAAGAGTGCCAATTCAATCATTCTATGATTATGATATCTGATATGATTAATGAGTTATTCTAACTTGGCGAACTTTATGTTTTTTAATCTCGGAACTATTGTATTTTTTAGATTTTTTTTTTGCTCTTCTTGTGGTGCTTGGACTCCTGTACTTTATTATGGAAGAAGTTCTGCCATGTGCATCTCCTGTCATTTTGAAACAAAAGGAAATGCATATAATTGCACTGTTTACATCCCAGTGGAGGAGAGAACAGCAGCCGTTGGTTATTCCTCTTTCCAGATATTGAAGCTGGTTGCTATGAAGTTGCCAAATATTTGAATGGGGACTGCAGGATATGACCTACCGTGGATAAAGAGAAAAAAGGGCCTAGAGTTTCCTGCTTACCTTTAGATAGAAAACAGAGAGTGGGAGAGGAACAAGGGTAAACAGGGGTTGGGGGATTTGGAAATAATAATTCATTCAAAACAACATGAATAGACACATGTTACAGCTGATTTCTATTTAGAAAGGCCTATGAATTATCTAGAATGTCCTATTGAATTTTAAAAAAAAACACTAAAAGATAAACTATCCTAAAAAGTAGCTAATTAGCTCCTTAAAACCGGAATTGTTCAGGAAAAGTAGGAAAATTTCATAGTTTTAGGAAAGAGATCTCGAATAATTCCCTTAATGTACTCTTCCTTTGTCTGGTTACTGCTTTGGTTGCTTGCTTATTTCTGTGCTCTGCTTTGTATACATCTTGCTTAGCAATTTTACTTTTGAATTGTTTTCTGCTTGTCCAACACATACTTTGGGTTGAATTGGAGTTGATACTGATTAAAATTATCAGAAACTCTCGGGGAATTTGTAGGGAGTCCTGAAATTTTCTTGGACCATCAAATTGAACCAACACATTCCAAAATTTTTAAAAATTTGAGAAAATTATGAATATTGCAATCCTCCTGTGTCTGAAGGGCAATAGGACTGAGTTCTTTTCATGTAATAAAAATTTGATGTACTTCAGCCTGCAAGGAATCCTACTTTCCTGAGCTAACTTTGGTGGAGGGACGGATGAGATTGGTTTTTGAACAAAATGCTAACGTTTGAAGCGAAATGCACATCAGCTTCAATTTCATGGCCTTCAATCTTTCTCTGGACTGTTTGTACATTATCAACGTGATGGAAGTTTTTCAAGTTACTGCCCAATTGTGTAGTTTTATACGTAGTTTTTATCACTAATTGGAATGCTATTTTCCTCTCATCTTTTTTTCCAGGTACTATATTCTGAAGTGGGACTCAAGGGTTCTTGGCATTTCGGTATGATCATTGATTGTGGAATGTTTTTTCGTACTGTGGAGTTGGCTGATCTTTTGAACGAAGACAATTGTTCGAAGCTTGTGGACATGGTCCACGTGTCAGCTGCTATAGAGGGTCTGAAACGAAATGCCCCAAAATTACATCGTAACTGGATAAGGCCATTACCTCCAAAATCTAAAATCAAGGCATCTGAGCTAATTTATGGGCTTTGTGTTGATGCCTTTGTGGATGATGCTTGGTGGGAAGGTGCAGTTTTTGATCACAATGAGGGCTCCTTGGAACGTTTGATCTTCTTCCCTGACCAAGGAGATCAACAAATTATTAATATTGAAAAGCTCCGTATCACCCAGGAATGGAATGAAGCTTCTGGGCGCTGGAAGCACCGTGGAGTGTGGCAGTTTCTTCAAGTTATAAAAAATTTTGAGCTTGAAGGTCCATTGCCTGTGTCTGTCAGGGAAATATGGTATGACTTAAGAAGCACGAAGTCTTTCTTGGGAAAGATTGGAGTGTGGATTTCTGGATCAAAATCAATTTGGCATGAATTGGTAACAGAGTTAATCCAGGAACTTCAATCTGTAGTGAACGGTGTTCCGCTTGGTGTATCAACTTCCTATGATGATTTATGTGAAAACCCTATGAATGTTGATGTTATAGACTGTTCCAGGGAATTTCTTCCTCTTCCAGATGCTCTCCAGGAAAATGATGGAATGAGTTCTGGTTCTGCAAATAATTTTCCTGAACTACTGAATCCTAATGATCTGTCCTCATGCCATACCCCAGTTTCTGAAAATCAAGCCAAATGGGGTTTCTGTCACGAAGGGTCAGAAATGCAAGCTTCAAAAGAGGAGATTTGCGGGGAACAAGTTATTATCTCGTCCAGTGGCAATGAGCCAAACAACACACAGCATCCCAGCCCCCATCTAAAACAGTGTGATTATAGTTTGAAGTTTGCATCCATTGATGGAATGCTTTGTGATTCTAATGGAAAAGCTCTCAATGGTTGCCAAGAAATGGCACAGAAAAACTGCCTAAACTCTACTTCTATCTCTAATAACCTGGCTAGCCAGATTCAAGCGGCTGAATCCAAAGATACTGTTTCTGATATCACTGCCTTGGGAAGCTCTGAAACATGGCAGCTTATGGACCTTGAAGCTGAGAATTGTGCCGAAGCAATTCCCTTATATTTAAATGATAAAAAATTCAGAGACTGTGGTCTGAGAAGATCAAAATCACGTGAAAAAGAGCTCAGCTCACTAAGGCTAAAAGCAAAAAGGCATCTTGTAGCTTTAGGGTGGAATATTGAAGCTAGAAGAGAGTGTGGGAGTTTAAGGGTTCGGTTTGTGTCACCAAAGGGTCAATGCTATTCTTCCCTTCGTAGTGCATGTTTTGGTCTGTTGGGGAGGCAACCAGAAAAGAATGGAAAACAGAAATCGAATAAATTAAAAAGTTTAGATGGGTTCCATTTTGTCCCAACTTCTTATGAGCTTCTTTTTATGAACTCTGAGGGTGAAACAAATTTTCATTCACATGATAAAGCTTTCAATGTGTTGCTTCCTGTCACAAAGAAAAAGAAAATGGAGAACTCTAGCCATGTCACTGAGCTGAATGTGTCTAATGGAGATATAAAAACCGGCACAAATCATAAAAAGAAGCTTAGGCTGTTATCTAGGATGACACAATCTAATGTTATGCCTAATTATTTTGTTATGAATGACAAATCAAGGTGTGATATTTTTGATAAACGACAGGCTAAATCTGGTTCTTCTTCCTCAGAGAAAGACTGTTTGATATCAGAAGTTCATAAGCAAGAGTTTCCCATGCATGAGGATATTGAACCAGAAAATTTTCCGGAAGCGCTAACACAATTTATAAATTACAAGAATTCCATGAATGTGGCTGCTAAGAAACAGTCTGCTGTGAGTTTTAGTATTTTAAAATTAAATGCGAAGAATCATCTTTTGTCCTTGGGGTGGAGGTTTTGGAGAACAAACTCTGCATTATTTTATGTTTCTGCTGGTGGTAAGGTCTTTCATTCTCTTTACTCAGCTTGCAAGTCTTGCTTGGAAGAAGAAAACCATTGTGTTGGTACTTCAAGGTCTCTTATAAATGGAAGAACTAGAAGAAAGCTGGACTACTTGAGGGAGATGAAACCTGCTAATATTGATAATAAACTTTTGAGAAGAGCCTGCCAATGTGCTACTACAATGGACAATGAAAATTTTCAAAAAGCTTCTAATTTATCACAGAATAGTGTTGAAAATGGATGCAATGACTTGAACAGATCTGCTGAATCCATGGCTTGTAGCTTTCATCAAATGATTTCAAAAGAAGGCAGAAGATCTAAGAAGAGAAGAATGACTGCTTCCACCTGCCAATGTTTGGAGCAGAAATTACTGAGACACTCATCTTGTAGCTCCTTCCTTTGTGAGAAATCTGAGAGGGGAAAAGCTTCACCGGCTCTAGTTAGGAAGCGTCGTAATATGTCAAGTTGTTCCTCTTTTCGTGTGCGTCGGCCGAGCAAAAGATCACGGCAGGTTGATGCATTGTCTCCTACTCAGTATGTATCGAGAACAGTTTTGTCCTTATTGATAGAAAATGATATTGTACTTCCAAGGCAGAAAGTTAGGTATATTTGTAAAAAAGATGGGCATATTATGATGGAAGGACGTATAACTCGTGAAGGGATTAAGTGCAAATGCTGTTCAAAAGTATACAGTCTCAGTAATTTTGAGGTTCATGCTGGAAGCTCTCTAAGACGTCCAGCTGCTAACATATTTTTGAAAGATGGAAGATCTTTGCTGCAGTGCCAGATGCAGATGTTGAGTTCTAAAATTCCGGATGGCTTCCAGAGGTCGCGACTGAAAAATGACTGTTCGATCTATGAAAGTGATAGCATTTGCTCTGTTTGTCATGATGGGGGCTCATTAATACTATGTGATCACTGTCCTTCATCATTTCACCTAGATTGTGTTGGTTTAGAGGTAATGTTTAGCTTTACTTTTTAAATAAAACCCAAAATTATTTCTGCTTTTTAATAAGGTTATTGCTCTTGAAATCTATTATTATTATTATTATTATTATTTTGTGTGTGAGTCCCCCAAGATGTGAATCAATGCTTTCTCGGATGCTAAAATATGCTCATTGAGTGTTGTTACATTATATAATAATTTTGAGACATTTTGACGGATGAATGGGGGATTATTGTTTTTTATTACATTTTTTTTAACATTTTAAATTGCATTCAATATTTCTTAGGAGTCCACTATATTTTTTGCGGAGTTTCTTAGTGAAGCACTTCGAGGTGGACATTGCCTAAATGTTGTAAATAAAGGTCCACAACCATGAATATTGTCTGTGCAATACAATTAGCCTACAAAGGACTAGTGTTTCATTGGGTAATCAAAATGATTCAAAATGTATTATAAAGGAGTTGAATTGGTTCAGTTATCATTTTATTTTGGGACCATATTCTTTTTTTGATAATTTTTTCTCTTTTTAATTTGATTTATTTTATCAGGCTCAAAATACTTTGCGTACTATTAGGTTTGAATGTGAATGCTTCAATAGGATTTAAGTCGATTTAAAATCGGATAAGACTTGATTTTAAAATTTTTGCCTTTATTTTTGTAATCTTATTTCTATAAATAGAGATTGATAGCTTTCATTAACTATCAATTTTTTATTGAATGCAAATTATTTGTGAGTCCAATTTAGTGTTCTTTTTTTATCCAGGTTGTGTATAGGGGTCACTCCCAAGTCATGCCGGTAGTGTTTTCTTTTTCTACCCATCTTCATTAATTTATTATCAAAGCAAGGCTTGATCTTTCCTGGATTAACTCAATCAAATTTTGAATTCTCGTCTCATCTTGTCTCACTTTTACATGTGCTTGAATCTTCTTATCTCCATGTGCCTCACATTGAGTTTGATTGTGCACACACATCTGTTATTGTCAGTTTTTCTTGCACTTCTGTTCACCCTAATCTCACTTTTTTGACTGCATCTCTTTCCGGGCTAATAAAACACGTTGTTTCTTTTTGTCTCGTCTAACCTTTTTGTTGCATCTCCTTTTTGTCTCACTTATTCTTACCTTTTTGTTGCATCTCCTTTTCATCTTATTTACTCTCTGCTTTGTGTTTTTGTATTCCTCTCCTCTTTTTCTTTCTTGCTTGCACTCTATATATGCAGTTCATGTCCGCTTTCACCTGTAACTCAACTTTGAATAAGGACTATGCCATTATGGATTTCTTTTCTTCATAAAATCATGGTCTTGTTTAACCTAATCGACTACCTCATAATTAAGTTGTTATTCAATTAAAATTCTAACAAGCCTCTTCATCATTAAATTCTCTCAAACTCTGAAGCTTCAATGGTATTATTTTACGCAAAACATCGAAATTTGCTCAACTTCTTTTTCGTTCTCATGTTCACCGTTCAAAAAATTGTACTTACCATTGTCAGTACTATCCTTGCTGATATCTTCACTCATATATATATATATATGGATGGTGACTGTACTTTTTCCTTATAGTAAGATTCTTACTTAGATCATACCATTATGATTGTGATTATGATTATCTTATCATTCTTGATCACATAAGTCATCTTATATTTATCACTATGATGAACTCTCTCCCTCTCATATATTTCAAAACTTTTTCCTTAAAAAAAAGGTTTTTTTTGTCTGGATTATCAATCCACTACACAAATCCTGATGTCCCATGCGCTCCTTTAGACCCACAAAGCTTAGAACTTTTTCCAGTTAAATAACATGTGCAAGAAGATTATGGTCATTCCCTCTGTAATAAAAATCTTTAGATTCAATTTAAAAAATCATGCTATGATTTTACTCCAAATAGTAACCCAATTCACACGTGAGCTTTTAAAAAGTTTCATTTTTACTCCCATCTAGCTACAGTACTTACCATAATTATAATCATTGCCTTAATCACCAATTAGCAAGCCAAAACAACCAAAGTGTTATCAGAGATCTTGCTAGAGCTTATTTTGGATGAAGTGTTTATGTTTCTGAGAATTGTTGAGCATGAGACGACATTTTTTGTATTTATCTACCAAAGCTTACATGTGATATTCTCCATATTCTTGCTTAAGATCACTTGTCACTGCCTCAAAAAGATAGATTATGTCAAATTATTATAATTTACTTAAGTTACTGTTGCTAAAGCTTGAGTTGTTGTTTCTATTACCACCATCATCACTTAGAGTCTGTTTGTGACAGTTTTCTATTTGCTTTATGTTTAAGACCACCACCGCAACTTCATTTAGGGAACAATTTTTTTGTTGCTTTATAGAAATTTTTGTGGTGGGAAGTTGTTTTTTTTAACCTGACCTGTTAAAGTGCAGTGATGGTATAAATGATATCTGATTTTTGGGAAAAAAATGTATTTATAATTCTCACAGTAGTTTTCTAAGATGTTTCCTCCACTACAGTTTTACAACCACCTTTTTAAAAAACTACAACCATCCCAAAAAGTCCCTTAGTTCACTATTTGTCCATATGTTTGATATTTTACATATGGATGAATTTTGAAAGTACCCAAGGCAATAACATTCGAATGTGTTTTTGGGACTTTCTTCCTATTGTCCTTTGGATTTTATGGTCATTTTTTCCATTAGATGATCTAATGGTGCCACCTTCTCCATCATGGCTGCCTCCTTCTGATTATTCATGAGAGTAATGCTTTGTTGGTTATATGAATTGATGAGTACAATTAACCCATAAAAGGCCAATCTCTTATAGGCAAACTCAAATGAGTTGAATTGGGCGACAAATTAGCTAAATTAGAGTTGTTTTCAAGCTTTTTTTTAGAACCATATTCATTTTTTGGCTGATTTTTTTTAGCTTGGTACATTTTATTGGGTTTGACTATCCTTTTCCAATAGTTTTAGATTTTATTGTGTTCAAGATAATTCTTAGATAAAAAAGGGTATTCATCTTAGATCAGAACAATAACACATAATAAGTAAAAAGAACGACGAACACTAGAAAGATATTTTGTTTCCTTGAAGTAGTTAGAAGTTTAAAATTATTTATAATTTTGGAATTCAAAGGGAAACATGGAAAATTAAATGGAGTTTGAATTATTTATAGTTTTAAAAGATTTAATAATGTTTTTATTCAGAATTATGTTGAAATATTTTTTATTCTATTAACAATAGCTATAATTTATGTCCTCACTTGATCATAAGGTAACTAAACGATCCTACGTTTTGGTCGAGGGCATGATTGACTCGTCTGTTGATAGTATGGATTGTGATTTGGTAGTGTAGTGGTGGTCGTGAGTGACGAAGCCAATGATCGAAGAACACATTGTACCATTCGAATGCTCTTATTGTCATTATCACAACACTGTTAATGCATTAAAAATATGATGGTCAGATCATTTTGAACAATTTCAGGAAGTTTTAGAGGTTGCAGTTATGGTCAATATAAAATAATGATGGTACGTCACAATTTTGACATTCGCTTGTTCCCATCATTAAGGATAATTCAAAGCCATAAATACTTCATTAATCAAATGTTAGTAGGACCCTATTGCACCCACAATTCCACCATGGTAGTATATATGACTGCTATTAAGAGTCAGTTTGGGGCTGCTGTAACTGTTTGAAGAAGCAGCTGTGAAACTGTTGCCCAAAAAGCTGCTGTGGCAATAACAATTTTTTTTTTTTTTGAAAAGTCAATTTGCAGTTTTCTAATAGCCACCACACTTACGTTCTGTTGCAAAACATAACTTTTAGCTGCAGCTTTTTGAAAAAGCAGACAATATAGTTTTGTCAAACATAAAAAACTATTGTGCGACACCACACCGCCACCCCAAATGCACCATAAGAAAAACTTTTAATTGCTTTTGGAGGCTCGATCATAAATGACCTCAGAGGCATCGTGCCCAATATGTTTATCATGACTCATTTAGATCCTTCTTGATTGTTCATTCATGTGTTATATTATCTCGGATTTAAGTTATCTAGTCCACTTAGCTCTTTGCAGAGATTCCATCTAGGAAATCGTTTTAGGTTGATGTCACCCTGGTCAGATGATGCTTACTCGGCTTGCATGGTTAGGAAGCCGCTCAACAATACCTTTCTAGCTGCTCAATGTAGATCATGAAAATTCATGTCACATTAAATCATTCTCACTTAAATCTCTTTTGTTTCTCACCGCTTGCTACATGATCATTTCTTGGATAGATACAACCATTATTGACGCGGGGCTTTGGGAAGGACCGTCCTAGGGTTCGGTCTAGCTTGGCTAGACTGGCCGTTCTTCAAGGGGGGAGGGCTGCTGACGCCCCTTTTCTTCCCTTTCCTTTCCTTTCATTTCCTTTCGTTCCCTTTCCTTTCCTTTCCTTCCTTCTTTGATAGCACCTTATAAGTCCCTTTTAAATCTGAAACCTAAAATTTGAAATCTAAAATTTTTCCATTCCAATTCTGAATTCTCCTCACTTATTTAATCTTTGCACGATCTGAAATTTTGATTATCTTTGTTCTTCTTTCTTATTTTAAATATTGCCTAAAATAAGTCTTAGTGCTCATTATAAATAGTGGTTGTTATGCTTAGAGTTTTCTTTTATTTTTTGATACATTTGCTTTCAGATATTCTGGGAGACTTTTTCCCTTGTATGGGTTGTATCTGAGGAGATGGTGATGCTCCGGCTGTATCCTACTTCGAGGTGGTGATGTATCTCCCCCTGGCATTTTCCCTAACTCTTCTCCTCCACTCCCCATAGCCTCTGGCCTTGCTTTCCAACCTCTACGACCACCATATGCACTCCGTTGATCCTCCTACATCAGTCTCCCCTTGCTGTCCCACCATTTCAGCCCCATCTTCGCACTTGTATTGTGTTCCCTTACAACCTTCCTCCATTCTAGCACTCACAATCGACTGCTCCTCACCACCACTCCCGTTGCCCTTGCTGTTGTCGGCCGTTTTTATGTTCAACTTGACTTTCGTAGTTTGAA